ACCACTGCTTAATGCAAGATCACACAGATTTGTGGATATGTTTTTCTCTAAGTGATTTTTATTTTATTTAATTAATTTTTTGGGGGGAGGGGAATAGAGTCTTACACTGTCACCTTAGGGTAGAGTGCCATGGCATCTTAACTCACGGTAACCTCCAACTCAGGTTCAAGCAATCCTCTTGCCTCAGTTTTTTTAGTTTTTAGTAGATAATGAGGTCTTGATTTTTGCTCAGGCTGTTCTTAAACTGAGATCAAGCAATCTGCCTGCCTCAGCCTCCCAGAGTTCTAGGATTACAGGTGTGATCCTTGCCTGGCCTAAGTGATTTTTATTTTATACTTTTAAATTTAGATTTTGGTCCACTTTGAGGTAATTTCTGTACAAGGTATGATGCAGGGATTCTGATCAGTTTGCGTATACTTTCCAGGGTCTGTTCTATAGAGAATAGTTTCATTGCAGATGTAGTGTCCTTTAAGCTAAAGTGTTTGGTTTGGGGATATATGTATATTTTGAGAAAAAAAAAGAGTGGTTGGGAAATGTACCACTGTCTACTAGCATATTCATAGCAGAATTTACTGGCAAAGTCTCCTTTTCTGTATCTTCACTTTCTAGTTGGTTCTCCAATAGGTCTAATGCTGAATTAGGTCTATTAAGTGTCAAAGTATCTTCTTTAAGGAGATTAGTGGGCCAAATAACAGTTAGCTTTTGATATTCTGAAAGATCCAGGGAGCCCACATGCCTTCTCTGGAATATTAAGCCAATTTATTAATGTTATAAAACAAATAGGAGATTCTAAGGAGGACAATCAGAGTTTGAAAAGAGATCAGACCTTAAAGGGTAGAAGATGGGTCCAAGAAACTAGATTATCAATTATATGAGAGTTGAAAATTAAATAATCTAATTTTATTTTAGTAAGATTTATATTTTAAATGTGAAAGTAGGTCATAATCCTTGCACAAAGTGCAAAGCACTGTAAAAAGTTAAAAGTAAAAGGAAAAAACAAAATCTTTAATTGTGACAGACAAGAGAAACCTAATAAACTTGATAGTAATGGTTGTGGCATGTAAGGGGTGGTGTCTACAAATGAGAAAGGACATTAGGAAAAAACAGGAAATATGATAATATGATGAACATTAGTAAACAACTACAATAAAAAAGTATATACCTAATTCCCACTCCTAAAGGAAATATCACTGTAACATACATTTGGTACAACTCCAAGGGTCAACGCTTTATAGTGCTTTTAGTCTATAAAACACCTGTTCCACATATGTACTCTAACTCTTTTAATTGTCAAACCATTGTACAAAATATGTATAATCCTCTTTCAGTTTACAAATTAGGAATATAATGCACAGAAAATTAAGAAATCTTCTGGAGATAACATTGTAGTCAACCTTCAAAGTTAGAATTTGAATTAAAAAAGCCTGAATCCAAAAGACTAGTTTTACCAGGAGACTATAATGATATATTCTTTCATACTTTTTCAATGTGCAAGTAAACATATTTACATAATACACCTTCATATAATTTTACTTTATATTTTGGTAGTCACTCTCATGATGAGTCAACATCCTATGTTACTTTATACAAATAAGTAACAATGAACTATTAGAAATAGCAATTTTTGGTAGATAAAAAATTAGTGATTTTTTTTTTTTCTGAAACAGTCTTACTCTGTGGCCCTGGGTAGAGTGCTGTAGCATCCTAGCTCACAACAACCTCTGGCCTAATTACAGGAGCCCACCACCATAATACGGAGCTCTATTTTCTATTTTTTTTTTTTTTTGGTAGACATGAAGTCTTGTTCTTGCTCAGGCTGGTCTCCTCCTCATCTCAAGGAATCTACCCTCTTCTGCCTCCCAGAGTGCTAGAATTACAGGCATGGGCTACCTGCAAGGACACAAACTATTAAATATTTATATTTTTTATTTGGTTCAGTCATACTTGACATTGTTTGCCCCTCATCTTGTATTTTATTATTTATATATGCATTAATTTACCTTATTTCTGCAAGGCACATTACCTTAGTTCTTAAGATTTTGTTATGTTAAAAGTCTGTATTGAGATGGTACCATGACTCACTCCAGTAATACTAGCACTTTGGAAGGCTGAGGCAGGTGGATTTCCTGAGCTCAGGAGCTGGAGATGACCCTGATGTACAAGCCAGACCCCCTCTCTTAAAATAGTGGGGCACTGTGGTGGGTTCCTGTAGTCCCAGCTACTTGGGAGGCGGAGGCAAGAAGATTGCTTGAGGTCGCTGTGAGCTAGGAGCCATGGCACTCTACTGAGGACAAGAAAGTGAAAAAAAAATTAAATAAAAGTCTGCAATACTAAGCCTTCACTTATTTTCATATAGGATCATTGGGAACTGAGCAGTAGTTTGGGGGTGCAGTGAGAAGATTTAAGCCCTTAGTCCACTTCTACCTCTCCATTTCTTTTATAATAGACAATTGAGAAAGGGCAAAGGTATGTAAAAATCATGCAAATTCAGCTTCAGAATTACTTCCTTAGCTTCCAATTCTCAGCATTATATTTTTCCAAATTATACAGATGTCTAATTTTTGGCATGACCAATGCCTCTGTTACGTGTATAGGCAGGATAATATTAGGTCAAAAATCACACATTTACTCATTCATTACTTTTGTTTTTCTTTTGAGACAGAGTCTGACTCTGTTTTTCTGGGTAGAATGCTCTGGTGTCATAGTTCAGCAGCAACCTGAAACACTTGGGCTCAAGGTATGCTCTTACCTCCACCTCCCAAGTAGTTGGGACTACAGACACCTGCCACAGTGCTGGGCTAGTTTTTCTATTTTTGTAGAGATGGGGTCTCCATGTTGCTCAGGCTGGTCTCAAACTCCTTAGCTCAAGTATTCTACCAGCCTTAGCCTCCAGAGTGCTAGGATTACAGGTATGAGCCACAGCCTCTGGCCTCTTGTTCATTACTATTGTATAAAAGTGCCTATTTTACCCCACTGTGTTACCAATTATTGCTAAAATTTTTAAATGTATATGGTCAAGCACTAACATGTAGGGCTGTATCTCAGCACTCTGGGAGAGACTAAGTGGGGAGGATGCTCTGAGATCAGGAGTTGGAGATCAATGTGAGAAAAAGCCAGACTCTCTACTAAAAAAATAGAAAAACTACAGCATGCTCTGGTCTGTAGTCCCAACTGCTTTGGGTTGCTAGGAAGGAGGATGCTTGAGCATGAGTTTCAAGTTGCTGTGAACTAGGCTGACTAATGCTGTGGTATTCTAGCGTGGGCAACAGAGAGAGACTGTATCTCAAAAAAATTAATGTATCCAAAAAAAATTTTTTTTGAGACAGAGCCTCAAGCTATCCCCCTGGGCAGAGTGCCACAGCATCGAGGCTCCAGCAACCTCCAGCTCCTGGGCTCAAACGAGTCTTCTGCCTCAGCCTCCCAAGTAGCTGGGATCACAGACACCTGCCACAATGCCCGGCTATTTTTTGGTTGCAACCATCATTGTTGTTTGGCGGCCGGGCTGGATTCAAACCCACCACCTTAGGTGTATCTGGCTAGTGCCTTAGCCACTTGGGCCACAGGCGCCGAGCCAATGTATCCAAATTTAATAGCCAATTTAGACTTTAGATAGGGATCTAACTTCATAAACTGTATCTATTTTGGCAGTTTTCCTAATTGAGTATCTTTTTTTTTTTTTTTTTTTGAGACAGAGTTTTACTTTGTCGCCCTCCCTAGAGTGTTGCGTCACAGCTCACAGCAACCTCCAACTTTTGGGCTTAAGTGATTCTCTTGCCTGAGCCACCCAGGTAGCTGGGATTACAGGTACCTGGGCAACACCCAGCTACTATTCTTTTGGAGAGTTTAATTACATCATGGTGGGAGGGCAGGGGGAGAATTTTCACAATTTATTTTTATTTTAATTTTTTTTTTTGAGACAGAGTCTCAAGCTTTTGCCCTGGGTAGAGTGTTGTAGTGTCACAGCTCACAGAAACTTCAAACTCTTGAGCTTAAGCGATTTTCTTTTTTTTTTTTTTGGCTAGGGCTAGGTTTGAACCTGTCACCTCCAGCATGTGGGGCCAGTGCCCTACTCCTTGAGCCACAGGCACTGCCCGAGCTTAAGCGATTTTCTTGCCTCAGCGTCCCAAGTAGCTGGGACTATAGGCGCCTGCCACAACTATAGGCGCCTGCCACAACTCCCAGCTATTTTTTGATTGTAGTTGTCATTGTTGTTTGGCAGGGCGGGCTGGCTTCGAACCCTCTCACTCTGGTGTACATGGCTGGTTCCCTACCCACTGAGCTACAGGCACCTAGCCAGAATTTTCACAATTTGTCCTTACTCTAAAATGTATAAAGTAGAAAGGGAGGAAACATGGCTTGGTGCTTATAGCTCCGCGAGTAAGGAAGGCGCAGGCCACATACACCGAAGCGGTGGATTCAAGTCTGGCTAAGGCCTGTTAAACAGTGACAACTGCAACCAAAAAGCAGCAGAACATTGTGACAGCCACTAGTGGTCCCAGCTACTCGAGAGGCTGAGGCAAGAGAATCACTTAAGCCCAAGAGTTTGAGGTTGCTGCGAGCTGTGACGCCCCGACACTCTACCAAGGGTGACATAGTGAGACTGTCTCAAAAAAAAAAAAAAAAAGAGTTAGGGAAATTTTCTTCTGGGTTTGAAGTAGCTGGCATGTTTGCATTGACTGTGTTTTCGATCATTTTGACTTTCCCAAACTAGTTTTTCTGTAGCACATTTAGGGACACCAAAAGGTGATTGTAAATGAGTATTGTTTGGCCTGCAATATCTGCAAAAATTTCTTGGGGGTAGCTTGGAATTATTTTCTGAATATTTCACACATATTTAAAGATAGGGCAGATGCGGCCATTGATCTCCCCGTCTAGTTGCTAGTGGTTTCTGAAGTCTCTCACTTTAAACACCAGTATTGTGGGTGCCAGGGGTCCATCATCCCCTTCCCCTAGGTCACGGCGGTCAGATAGGACACCAAGCGCGCTGCACTGCGGCAAGAAATCGCGCATGCGCAGCCATAGGTGCGGGCTGGAGCACATGCGCAGGTGGGGACAAGTGCCGGGTCTTGCGGCAGCGGCAGCGAGGCTTGAGCAGAGCGTGGTTGCCGCCGGAGATGCCTGAGGCCTCAGCCTGAGGAGCGGTCAGAGACGCGATGGAGCGAGCAAGGTAAGCCGTATTGGTGGCTTTTCTGAAGAGATAGCCTAGAGCACAGTCATTTTTGTTCATCAGATATTCCAAGTTTTCAAGTTTGGGATTATTGTTATATAAAGAGGGAATTCGGAGGACTAAGTTCCTTTGTTTTGGACAGCAAGGTCTGATAGGGTTTGGAGGCTCGGGAACTCTGCGGTCCGAACCCCATGGTGTTCTGTCCACATTGTATCATGTCCTCACATCTGTCCCCTCCTATAGCAACAGGTTCTTTTCCGGGTAGATCTTTGTCCTTCAAAATAAGGGGTCTGTGGCCAGGAGGGGTCTTAGGGTGGTGGTGGGGCGAGGGGTCGGAGGGTTGACCGCAGCGTGGCGGTGCGAAGGTCCACGGCGTGACCGCGGGGCGCGGGGGTCGGTTCCGTGGACCACGGCAGTGGCGGTCCGGAGCGATATGTGGGCGTGACGCCGAGCCGGTACCAGGGCTTCGCATCAGTGTGAGCTCGACAGGATGAGGGGTACGTTAGTGTGGCAGGAGTGGTCGTGGGCCTCTGAGAGGACAGCGGAATGATGGGGAGGGGCAGCGGTGCGGTGCACAGCCTTTAGGTAGCAGAAAAGGGAGAACGTTATTTTTTTCTGAACTTCGGTGGCCTTCAATTTGTATATTGTGGTGATTATGCTTTTTTTAAAGCTGCCCAACTTCTACAATGAAGTAATAACTTCATAAATAGCTAATTTCTTTGTATTTAAACGTTTTATGATTCCTCGCTATAAGATAGAGAAATGATAGGCAGATACTGCTTTTATGGATCACCTGACAGACATGCAAAGTTATGGTGGATAGGCGCTCTTTTTTCCACTGCTTTTCACCGTGTTCAGAATCAGCTTTGAAGGCTATTGGGATTTGGTATTTAGCGGGGAGGGGTCTTTGCACGCGTCACTGCCATTGTGCAGCTCCCCGAAGATGGCCGCCACTGCAGTAGTACGGGTCTGCGCAGGCGCGGCAGTGTGGGGGCGGCTGCCCCCTCCCCACAAAAATGCAGGTGAGGAGCAGGCTCTCAGTCTACTCAGCTTTTGCAGTGATGCAGTCTCAGCCACACCCTCTCCTAGGTGCTGGTCAGGGGAGGTGGGGGGATAGAGTACACGGCTGCCCCCTCCTCAAAATGCTGCAGCATGGAAGGGCGCAGGGTGTGCCGATGCAGCGGGGATGACAGCCACCACCCCGAGTGGGGTGTACCCAGTGGGAAGGAGGTCTGTGCAGCCTCGGCGTAGAAGAGATGGCAGTCATCTCTTTTACCTGGCTGATACAGCAGCTGCTCCTTTTCTGATGTGGCGCCACAGTAGGGGGAGGGGAAATGGAGAAGGAGATGGGTAGGCGCAGGCTCCGCCTAGTTGGCATGGCTGCCACCCCCTTCCCATAGTTGTGAGTGGAGAACTGGAAGGGAATGAGAGTGCACCCAGGGATTTGTGCAGCCCCTCCCTGTGTGGGATGGCAGCTGCACTGCGCTTTTCAGTTCTGCAGAAGACTGGAGGGGCAGTGATGTGGAGGCCAACAAATGCACAGCCACCCTGGGACCTGCAGTGCTGCTTCAGGCAGCCTCTGTCACTGGTAGTTTAAATTTGTTTTCTGGTTCTTTAGAAAATCCTTCATTTTTGTTTTTCTAGATTCCTCCTTAGTTGTATTATGCCAATTAGACTAATTCTCCATTTTCAGAGTGGATTTACTAACCCGGTATTTAGATCTCCTTCCCATATCCTTTTATTTTTCACTTTTTAGATTCAGGAATTTAACATTTACATCACACTGAAAGTCTTTTATCCTTCTTAATCTTGGGGTATTCCATCCTGCCCCATTACTTAGATGCTTTCCTTAAAGAGGGTTGAGGGGGATCAGGGTGCCATCCTCCCAAGGAGAAGGGTGTGCCAGACACTGGCACTGCTAGGCTTTTAGAAGCTAAAAACAGCAATTTGTATTTGCTTAAAAAAGAGAAGAAAAGAGAATCAGAAATGTGGGGAGAATCTTACTGGGCTAAGGTCGGGTAATTGCCTTTAGTTGGATTTTAATATTAATGCTTTGATCATTTATTAAGTTGGAGCTACAGTGGGAACTTGATGAGAAAGGATAGTGAATGAAGTAGCTGAATTCTTAATATTGCAGTGGTTTTTTTCCTAAGCATTTTATTTTAATGATTTTTTTTGCTTTGTAGGATTTTCATGTTTGTCTTTTTTCATTTTACATTTTTCCTCCCCTTTCATAACCATTATGTTTGGTGGTGTTGAGCTATAATTAATGAAAATCTGAGAAACTTGAAAAGCTTTGTGCTGGAATTGTCTCTTTGTAGTTTAAAAGATAAGAGGAATCTGGGATGTTGTGTGATGTTTATAATTTACCCATTTTTTCCTGATTGTATGGATACTGCATCAAATATATTTTGATTTAACTTCTGATTATTTGGCTATTTGCAGGCTGAGTATTCATCCTGGTCCGCCATTTTGTAGACTTTCACTCAGGCTCAGGATCCCAACATGGCTGATCCCTTTGGAAATGCCTCATAAAGTTTCAAGGTGTCTATCCTACCCTGTGAACTGGCTCAGTACTAGGCTTTTTGAAAACAAGGAGCTTGAGCACCCTTGTGATTTAGAGTAAGGAAGGAAGGACCTTTCTATTGTTAGCTAATGCAAGGTGGTATTTGTCTTGGATTTATTAATGTAATTTATTTTGTAATATCTTTATTTCCCTATTCTGACAAGTGTTTTTATTACTGAAATATTTCCCCCGTTTTTTTTATGGTTACTCTGCATCTTTATTTCTCTGTTAGCCTCCTTTCTAAATGAATTAATATTTTGAAAAGTTTTCCAAGTTTCACTTTTAAGATGTTAAAACTTCCTACTTAATGTCTTATATTTGTCACTGTACTCTGTTAATGTAGCTATTATTAGGAAGAAATCTTGAAGTAAGAAGGTCAGAAATGCTTCCCTTCAAAAACATGACTGGAATGGTGACATTTTTAGAAATCATCTTTCCTCCCTATGGAACCATCACTTGTCCTTTCTCTACTTTGTGGAGAGAAAGCTTGAATTGAAATTGTTACTAATAAAAGTCAGTTGACTAAATTCTCTTTTCTATCTGTCTGTCTTTATTTATTTAAGAGATGAGAGTCCTATATTGCCCCCAAATTGACTTGAACTCCTGGTCTGAAGTAATCCTCATGCACCTGGCTCCCAAGTAGCTGGGACTAAAGGCATACCCCACCACATCAGGCTAATTATTCTATTTTTTACTTTTTTTTTTTTTTTTTTGGTACTTATAGGGTCTTACTATGTTTCTAAGGCTGGTCTCCACTTTGAACTGAAGAAGTCTTCGCCCTTTGGCATCCAAGATAATAGGATTACAGGCATGAGCCATCCCACCCATCAAGAATTCTCATTTTGGAGATTCTCCCCAGGTTTTGTTTTGAAGGAAGTGATTTTTCTTACTTTTTTTTTTTTTTTTTGAGACAGAGGCTCCCTATGTCACCCTTGGTAGAGTGCCATGGCATCACAGCTAATAGCAACCACCAACTCTTGGGTTTAAATGATTCTCTTACCTCAGCCTCCCAAGTAGCTGGGACTACAGGTGCCCACCATACGCCTGGCTATTTTTTGTTGTAGTTGTTTAGCTGGTGTGGGCTGGGTTTGAACCCACCACCCTCAGTGTATGTGGCTGGTGCTGTAACCACTGTGCTACAGGTGCTGAGCTAGATTTTTCTTACTTTTTGGGATGTACACTGACTTACAATAACTTTGTTTCAAAAAATTTTTAATTCCTGATATTTTAGTTGAATTTTAATTGTTGGTTTTTGATATAAAGCATATTGTTTTATAGACAGTGAGGCAGTTAGGAATAAAATTATAGTATACTGATTTTTTTTCTTTTCAGTGTATTGCCAGATTATTATGTCTTTCAATAAAAGTGGTATTAGAGAAAAAAAATTGTGTGCATATTACTACATTTTTCCCCCTAAATGCTTCATTTTCTGAAATGCTGGTTTCTAGATTGGGAGTGTAGCTAGGAAGAATGTGTGTACATAAATGTATCAAGAACATTAGGAAACTTCAATGCTTTGAAAAAAGGCTCACAGATGATTTTGCATATAGCTTAAAAATAAGTAGATTCCGAAAATTGAACTAATATATTTTTGTATAATGAGTGTTTTCTTAACTAAACTCTGACCTGTTTGTCCTGAGCCACTGCTGAAAGGGGCAAAGGAATTTAGGAAATTTTTTCCATAGTGTTTGTAATTATGTAATATTGGATTAATCATGATGTTATTGTTATTGATGATATCTCCACTTACTGTATTAAACTAGTTATTTCATGATTATTATATTTATATAACCATCATGCTGTAGCATGAATCAGTACTTCATTTCTTTTTATGACAGAATGACTTTCCTTTGATTGTGTTTTCCATACTGCAACATATTTTGTTTATCCTTCATCACCTGATAGACATTTGAGTTATTCCACTTTTTGAGAATTATGCATAATGCTTCTAGGAACATGTACAAATTTATATTTTTTAATATCCCTTTGTCAGTGGAGTTGCTAGGTTATATGTTAAATTCATAGTTAATATTTTTAGGCATTGCCAGAAGTTGTACCAGTTTCAATTTTAACTAGCAATTTGTCTACACCTTCCTCAACTGCTGTGGTTAGGTATTATTTTTATTTGTTTTAGATGGTGGTAAGCCTATGTGGTTTGCAAATATTTTCTCCTATTCTAGTAGTTTTTTACTTTCTTAGTGTCTTTTGGAGCAAAGACTTTCGTTCTTACTTTTGATGAGATCAAAAATTACACTACTTGTACTTTAGGTGTCATATTTAAGAAGCCATTGCCTAAACAGAGGTCATAAAGATTAAAATGGATAAAGTGTTATCATTAATAAATTCAGTATATATTTGGTTAAAAATAATTTGTATGACTTGATTAGAATATTTAAATTATTGAAAGAATGAAATCATGGGTTATTGGTAAGCTATTTTACCAGTTTTCATCTAATATGACATCAAAATAGCTAGCATTCAAAGCATTAGCTCTTGGGTTGTGTCCTTTGAATTCTGCTTTTGAGGTATAAGTTGCATCATAGACCTTTTCTTATCTGTGGCAAACATAAACCTATATATATGCTATGCTTACTTTGTAAACGTATCTTTATCCATCTCAGTAAACTTGGTTTCATGCATAAAAAATAACTCGCATCACTTTTGTGCCTTTTCTTATTTTGATTTGGCATTTTTAAATTGCACTTTTAAGCGGTTTATGGCCAGCCCAAGTTGTGTGTGTGTGTATGTGTATGGGGGTGGGGGTTCATGCTCAGTTTCATCAAGCAGCCATTTTCTGAGGTGTTCTACAGATCATAACTGGTGTGGGTGTGTGTGTATTCTTGTATACGTGTGTATGTTTTTGCTAAGTTGGTAACATTTCTATCTAAATAGCTCTCACATTTTTTCTTTAGGAAATCCTAAGAAAGCAGCATTTCACAAGAGATTTTTTGTTGTTGTTGTTTTGTTTTTTGGTAAGACAAAGACTCACTCTGTCACCTTTGTTATAGTGCTGTGGCATTGTCATAGCTCATAAGCAACCTCATTTTCTTGGGCTCAAATAATCCTTTTGCCTCAGACTCCCCAGCAGCTGAGACTACAGGCGCCTATCATGATGTCTGGCTAGTTTTTCTATTTTTAGTAGAAATGGGCTCTCATTTTTGCTGAGGCTGGAAGTCTTGAGCTCAAGGAATCCACCTGCTTCAGCCTCCCAGAGTGCTAGGATTACAGGTATGAGCTACCATGCCTGGCCTTACAAGAGATTTTAAAAGTAGATATTTTGTATCTTAAATATTATACTCTACCATTCAACTATAGAGTATCTGTACTATATACATATAGTACACTACTGTACTGTATCTATTATATCCTGAAAAATATTTTCCCATATCATTTTTGTAGAATCAGCTTTGCTATTTGCGGGGTAAGGATGAGTAGAACTTTGTGTATGTTGTGTGTGCGTGTATTTATGTATCTATTATGCCTCCTAAAAGGAAAAAGGGGTTATAGCATAGGTCATGACTAGAAGATAAAGATTTAATATTTTTATTATACCTTGTTTTAATTAGATTGTAGATACTTTTAAAAGACTGTCGTATTAAATAGAAATCTAAATATCACCTTTAGGGTGGCGCCGGTAGCTCAGGAGTAGGGCATTGGCCATATTATACCCAGGCTGGTGGGTTTGACCCTATTCCAGGCCAGCTAAACAACAATGACAAAACTGCAACAAAAAAAATAGCCAGGCATTGTGGCAGGTGCTTATAGTCTCAGCTACTTGGGTGGCTGAGGCAAGAGAATTGCTTAAGCCCAAGAGTTTGAGGTTGCTGTGAGCTGTGATGCTACCGCACTCTATTGAGGGCGGCATAGTGAGACTCTATCTCAAAAAAAAAATAAAAATAAAAATAAATATCACCTTTAAACAGATAGTTGTTTCATATATTGATAAAGTTTATTGACCAAGTTTTTCTTTTTCAGGGATCGCTTACACCTGAGACGGACTACAGAACAGCACGTGCCAGAGGTGGAAGTCCAAGTCAAACGCAGAAGAACAGCCTCACTGAGCAACCAAGAGTGAGTATGGTCTTGGTTGAGGACCAATTCAGGTTAGAGACCTATTTCTGATGAAACAAATTATCATGTGATGAGGGGATTAAAACAAACTTAATTGAAGAGCACCTGTGTAGAATAAAAAGACACAGTAAAACAATGAAATTCTTGTTTGTGTTGTCCTAATGTAAATCAAACTTTTAAAACATTAGTATATTTCTTTTGATATACATGTGTAAGTGGATTTGATCATTATAAAATTCTGTATTTCGCCTTCAACATATGCATACTTAAGTTATCTTTGTGTTGTTTATTTTATTATCATCACTTTTTGTACTTGGATAATGTTCTGTTCATTGAAAGAAAATCTACATATTCATTTTTTCTCTAGAATATTTAGGTTTTTGTTTCAGGTTACTGCATTTATCCAGTTAAAAATATAAACTACTATATATGTAACATTTGCTCTGTATTTAGGATGGTTGCACCTATTGCCCAGGCTGATAGACACACTTGGGCAGCACCTGTGGATCAGTGAGCAGGGTACTGGCCCCATATACTAAAGGTAGCGGATTTGAATTCTGCCCCGGCCAAACTGCAGCAACAAAAGAAATAGCTGGGCGTTGTGGCGGGTGCCTATAGTCTAGCTACTCGGGAGGCTGAGGCAAGAGAATTGCCTAAGCCCAAGAGCTGGAGGTTACTGTGAGCTGTGATACCAAGAGCGACAAAGTGAGACTCTGGCTCAAAAAAAAAAATAAATAAATAAACAAACGCACTTAGCCACAAACATTTTAATTTAGATTTCTAGCAGGAAAATTTTAATTTAAAATAAATGAACTTTTTTTTTTTTTTGAGACAGTCTTGCTATGTCACCCTCAGTCTCAGTAGAGTGCTGTGGTGTCATACCTCACAGCAACCTGAAACTCTTGGGCTTAAGCTATTCACTTTGTCTCAGCCTCCCAAGTAACTAGGACTACAGGCACTACCACCACGCCTGGCTACTTTTGTTTTTTTCTTGTTGCAGTTGTTTAGCTGGCCTGGGTCAGGTTGGAACCCATCACCTTTGGTGTATGTGGCTGGCACTGTAACCACTGTGCTACAGGCGCCAAGCCAAATGAACATTTTTAATTACATGATCCATATTGAGTACTCATTACATTTTTGGCATATTGTCATTACCACTAAAATTTTGACAGAATCAATAGGTAGCATTTTTTCTTTCCTACAGTTATGTTATTTCGAAAAATTATAAATTACATAAACACATTTCCTTGTAAAAAATACATATTTTTACATAAAACGGGTCTCTTAAGCCTAGCACCAGTTAATTCCTTTTTCCTCTGCAGAAATAATCCCTAAATACTTTGATCTTTACCCTTTTAGACTTGTCCTATACTTTCTTTGTGTGTGTGCGTGTGTGTATGCGTGTGTGCATGTGTGTCAGTAGGAGAGAGGAAGGAAGGAGGTATGGAACACATTTGAGATTTGGTTTCATATATGACACTGTGCTATATGTATTGTAACAATTTATGATATGGGGATATTTCCATGTTGCATATAATTCTACATTATTTTATAGATCACAGAATATGGGTGGTGTAATAACATGATTATTTTCATCATTAGCCTGCTGATGGATATTTAGTTTGTGTTTTTCTGTTATTAACAGTAAAGACAAGAGTAGTCACTCTGAAAATGCAGGGTATTAATGCAGTATGTTAATTTATTTTGAGACCGAGTCTTATTCTGTGGCCTTGGGTAGAGTGCTATGGCATCACAGCTTACAGCAACTTCAAAATCTTGGGCTCAAGCAATCCTCTTGCCTCAGCTTCCCCAATAGCTGGGACTACAGGGACCTGCCACAATACCTGGCTAGTTTTTAAAACTTTTTTTAGTGGAGATAAGGTCTTGCTCTTGCTTAGGCTGGTATTAAACTCCTGAGCTCAAGCAATCTACCTGGCGAGGCCGCCCAGCCTGCTAGGATTACAAGTGTGAGCTATCATGCCTGGCCAATACTAATTATTTGATTTCATTTTCTGTGATTTAAAATATTTAATTCATTGTAAAGTGGGTAGCATTTTTTGTCTTTTTGTTTGCTTATTTTTTTTTTTTTGAGACAGAGCCTCAAGCAGTCCCCCTGGGTAGAGTGCGTTGGCATCACAGCTCACAGCAACCTCCAAGTCCCGGGCTCAAGTGAGTCTCCTGCCTCAGCCTCCCAAGTAGCTAGGACTACAGGCGCC